TCTTCTTTTTCTGTCTCAGGAACCCCCTGGTACCTGAGAATCATATTAGCCTTTTCCATTTGCAACTGCAGCAAACGATTTTCTTGAAGATTTTGTTTCATTTCCAATTCACCCATTCTTTTCTTCATCTTCTTGCTTGAGGTGTCCATCTCTGTAACTTTCTCAGCCACCAGCTCCACTTTTTTCCTGTTTCTGCCAGCTGTCGCTGTTGTGAAGGGAAGTTTTGATTTAACGAGGTCAGTTGCTGGTTAATACCATCGAGCTGATCCATCACTGGCTTGAGCATATCCGCTAACCGCTTCATGACGTCAGCTCCCTCTTCCGGCCTCGGACTCTGAGTACCAGGCTTCGCTTTAAACTTTCCTCGGGATGCTGCCATTTTTCAACTTTATTTACACTCAAACAGCTTCTCCCAGGCTCGAAGCACTTGTCAATTTGCTATTTGCACTCAAGTAAGTCTTTCAAAATACACACGCTGTCTGTTTCCTCCCACCCCCCCTTCGCTGCATTTATCTGTCCTTGCACTTCAGAGGCGTCCCTCTTTGCGCTCCGCTTTTCCCACGGGGGGGGTGCCGTTTATCAAAGTTCATTTACTTAGAACTCACGTTCATTGTTGGTCACATTCCTGACCTCGCTCACATCAATCGTTGCTCCGCTCGGTCTCCCCCGCTTGTCCTGGTCGGGTTAGCTTGTGCCCTAAGGCCACTCATTGGTAGGACAGTCAGAGTGGAGAGAAGCCTCGACTCTCCGGCAGCAAGCCGTCAAAGAGGCTATCCCTCAAAGCTCTCTGGCCTGGAGCCTTTCACAAAGGCTCCGTGGGAGTGCCACTTGAGGTGGCACCCCTCCATGCTAATCGCCTCCCCAAGCTCTGGGGAGAGCGACCGCCATCGCCAATCCATAGACCGGAAGTACCCCATATATTTCTATGTCAACTCTAATTTTGATGTGATTTGGTTGTTGGAGTTGATATCGGATGATCTGGGAGTTCTGGCAATTAAATTAATGGTGGCTCATTAGCACACGTAGGTAGTCACTTGAATCAATGAAGAATAAGCACAGAAGTGCGAACTGATCCTAAGGCATCCTAGGTTTGACTTGGGGTGTATAGCTTTTGCTGTCACTCAGGGTCTGACTGGTGTTATGTCAGGTATGGGGGAAATTTGCCACAATGTCACTGGTGGCTTTAGGCAGCATACGTTCCCTGAGTTTCTGCCAGCAATTTGGAGATAATAAAATCAACCTACCTTAAGGAGTTGTAAGAATTACTGAGATGATGCCTGGGAAGTGCTATGCAGAGTATAAAGCAATACGTAAATGTTAAA